GCTTATACTGTAACGATTCTTAAAATACCATGCTGACCGAGAATTCTGTTAAGTGCAAGGCCAATATCTCTTAATGATGCCAGATTGAGGAGTTAACTTTTTTTAAAATTAACAACATTCCATTCAACATGTTATAATCTGTTTTCCTGCTCACCCAATGCAGCTTTTAGCATTATGTCTTTGAAACCGATGATGCGAAAAAGGCTCAGATTAAATCCTTAAGAAGACCCCTTACTCTTATTTCACTAATTACCCATTCTGAGATTCGAAGCAGCTGGTTTTTCTTACTAGAGCAGCAAAAAACACTAAAAAGAATAAGGGTTTCCTTTTAGGAAGGAAAAGGTCAGGATGGCAACTAACTATACGAAATACACTTAGTAGCAGACTTGTAGATATATATCCATTTTTTAAAAGAATTTGATCCCTGCCCCATTTAAGCAACACAATCTTCTTCAATCAGGAGCCCTCCAATTATGTTGGATTAAAAATACAAATATAGACAAAATGAGCTGCCAATCCTAATTTATAATTTCTACTTTTTGAAACTCATTTTTGCTTAAATTGTATCTCAGAGTTCTGCCTTGCTGGATATGAATATGTTTTCATGTTTGAAAATTACTTGTCTTCTACTTTCCTAAATTTAAAGGTATATACAAAATAGGTGCCTTTTTAAAAAAATATCAGAGGGCGCCACTGCAAGGGTTCCGAAAATTTGCATTTTCTGAATTTTCAAGTATATTAAGAAAGTATAATTTTCATGTGCTTTTATTGTGGAGAGTAAAAACTTTTTAAAAATATATGTGAAAAAAAGACAAAGGGACAAGAGAAATTACTAAATAATAAAGGCAGAAAAATGCTTGAAAATGTAAAAATATGTTTGGTTATGATTTTTTTACAAGGAAGAGGGAAAGAAGACAACACAAGGGAGGAAAGCCCCAGGCAAATATGATGTGTGTTGCTGTTTTGAGGTGTTTTTTTTTTTTGCAATGAGTAAGTTCTGAGTGAACTTTTTAATCTTTTGAAAGTCTGCTGAAATGTCTAATTCTTTCAGGTTGCTCTATATAAAATTGCTGCCTAAAGTCTTTATTGGAAACTTAGGAACACCTGAAAAACATGTTGTCTTCACAATTTGCTTCTTTCAAAAAATTACAGTAAATTAACATGTAGTTAATTTACAGATGATCTAAACTTGCCTTACAGGTACTAAATACTTTATCCTGCTCATACACGGGATATATTATCTTCCTGGCAGAAAATAAATGGATAAACTAAGAGAATCATTCAAGATTATACAGTAAATTGTAAAGGCCTATATGAGTTCCCAGATCTTCAAGAGTAAATCCAGTATCACATGAACATCATTCCCCTTTCTGTGAAACAGCCTAGTTATTCAAATAGAGTAGCTTGTTCAAATAATATTCAGCACTGGAAAATACAACAGTATTTGTTTAAAAAAGCATTTGTTCAGAATAACTGAACAAACAAGGAACATGTTAACCAAACATCCAAGCTACATATTCAGAATTATCTCATAATATAGCACTCAGAGGGCTAAATGAAGATTCTGAACATAGTCACACATTGCACCAAGCCATGGTTTGTTGAACAAATCACCACTGCCTGGAATTATATAATATGCTTAACCATAAACTATGAGTTATAAACCACAATGTTGGATTCACTGAAAACATTAAACCAATACTCGATTTAGTCTTGTCATAATGAGCCAAGGTGTTTGTATAAATGAAAACCTTCACACACACAAGTTATGAATTAGAAGAGTAGATCTAGTTTAAGGATATGTTAATATTTTTAGATTTTTATTAATATATTTACAGCATAGTGCTTTATATGATTAATTGGAAGTCTGCCCCACTGTTATTGAGATTTCCAGATAAATGACTACAGGATTGAAGCATTAAAACATAGGATTTTTACAATTTATATCAAATACTCTTACCTTAGAAAGATATTATATAATATATCAAATAAACTCATCGTTCATGAAATTTAAACTTTTTGTAGTGATTGATTTATAATTGTTTATTCTTGTGCCTTTGGTTATTGTGTCTTGATCTTTGGCGACTCTTTTGATTCCAGGGACTATCTAGTCTTTGCAGTTTTCTTGGTAACATTTTAAAAAATTGTCTACTTATTGCCTTCTTCCTGGGGCTGAGAGTGAGTGACTAGCCCAAGTTCACCCAGCTGGCTTCATGCCTATGACAGGACAATTCAGAGTCCCCCAATTTCTAACTTGGTGCCCTAGCCACTATATAGCACACTAGCTCTCTGTTTTGTTTATAGTATCTTGCAATTAAAAAAAAATCAGAATAATTTAAAATTGATCATAAAACACAACAAATCATTTTGAATTCTGAATTGAATTCTACGTACTTGGAGCTATAAGGAAAAGTACTACATACTTAAACACTTGCTTTATCATCTATACTAGGACAAATCACAGCCCACAGATCAAATAAGGCCTGTTGCCTATTTTTATACAGATTGCAAACAGATGGGCAGATGGCAGATTACCAGGCCCAAGCCTCAGCCCAACTTTCAAAGTTGGAGGATTGCTGAGATTAGGTGCCCTGGAGATTAGGTACCCTATCAGTGACCTCCTTACTGTTAGGTTGGCACCATCCAATGGCTGCTGGGCTGTTTAACCTCCTGGCCCAGCTTCAGCTGTTCCCACAGAGGTACAAGATCTGGTCCTTTAGAGAAAAAGTTTCCAATCCCTGATTTACACATATTCTCTAATTTAGACCCTCAATAATTAATACTGAATTCTAGCATCAAGTGATACTTAAAATTATTTCCTCTAACTTAAAAACAGTACAGAGTAAAGTCATCCTCAAACCATGCTTAATTCCTAGTGAACAAAACATGAATAGTATGTTAATTCCAGATAAACAAGGATATTAAAAGAATGTCTTTTCTGGTAATATTTATCTGTTACAAATATGCATATCAAAATGCATTTCACTGTATATTTGGAAACATCCTTCATCTTAAACCATAAATAATGAAACAAGTTAAAACAACTGGAAACTGAATTGATAATATATCACAAGGTAATTACTATTGTCTTAATCAGCTACAGAAGTGTTGCTGAATTACAGCAACATCTGCAAGGTCAGGCAGAGAAAAATTAAAATCTAAGAAGCTAATTCAGATCTGTCTGTCGTTTCCTTAGAGAAGTGCTTACCATATTCTACTTGCCAAATATTGATTACTCCTACAACATAACATGAAGAGCAGTTTCAAATAAACAAGTAGGAAATTAACACATCAATCTGCTAGTGACTTTATACAAATTGAATAGTTACATTCATGTATTTTACATACTACAACAATATGAGGAAACTTTTTGAAATCATGCAAATTCAACTTTCACAAGATCCTCCCTAATCCTTAGAATTAAATTTGATTGTTACAAATCTTATCCAAAAGAATAGTTTGAAGTGAAAGAAAAGTTAACCAAGCTTAACTATTTTTACACAGTAGAATAAAGATTGAATCAGAACATAAACTAAGTTTTGGCCTAGTAATCTGCAAACCAATTCTAATGCCCAAAGACAACTCTTGCTCAGTCATGCACATATTTGAAATATATTTCAATTAAAAGCATGACTCTTCTAAAATCAATGAATCTTCTTAATCCTGCCATAAACACACACACTTTTCTTCTGCAAGAGAGATTTCACTTTGTCATGCCCAAATGTCTTGGCAAACTATACATGAACTAGTTGACATTCTGCACCTTTAAGCAATTTTAAATTGATCTGCAACCAAATACAAAAAGGAACCTTAAGATAGGTTTTAGATCAGACTCTTCCAGCATTGTTTGCTTATTTTTAAATTTTAATTTAAAAGAAAAAGGGAGGGGGTAAAACATCTGGTCAACATTATAAACTGGATACCAGAAGACAAAAGAGGAAATGGACCAAAATGAAATAAATCCTTCCTCTAGTCTTGGCTCACCCATCCCATCTGCTTCTTCCTTCTGCTGACATGGAAGGCTTTGAACCCCTGCAGTGGCCTGTATATTCCCCCTTCGCAGGAAGCCTGGTAAGGAAATGCCAGACTGCTCTCTGTGAGAAGCTAGGCGCTTAATATGCCTTGCTGGAAAAGTAAACTTTCCACAAATTTTCGACACAAGGATGATGTTACAAATCCAGGGCTTTTTCTCCTGGCACTTGAATGTGCTCAATGGGCCAAGGCTAAACCCCCGCCACCGCACCTCCAATTTTACGGACCTAAATGCAACAGGCCAAACAATAGGAGTGAACGAGGCATTGCAAAGCAAGGCGATTCTCCATAAAAGCAGCTCACCTCTGTCCCGCACATCCCGAATAAAAAGAGAGATGAGAGCATGTGCCCCACATATACGCTGCCATTCACGCCCCACCGAAAACTACTTCCCCACTGGTTTTAATGGTATATGTGAAGTCTATCCTCGACAGTACCTCCACCAATTTACCTACAGAAAAGGTTAACCATTTGACGATTCATCTATGGTCCTATTTGGACCACATTAAATAACGTTTAAGATCTCTCCCCTCCCCCCGGACTTCAGATCAGATTTAATTCCAAGCGATTCCGGCTTGCAACTTTCACTGACACCCCTCCCCCCCTCCAAAAAAAAAAAGTTAAGTCTATAATTCACTGTTTTCCGCATCGCGTCTCCGGGTCTTAAGAGAATAAACTTTTTATCAAGCCACCTTTGACAGGATCGCTGGGAGGGAGCGAAAAGCGGCTTTACTATATTTCTTCCCCTCTTGAAATCCCCCAAAGGACAATTTGGGATGCAATCCTATAGCTCGACCCCCTCCAGGGAGTTAAGCGGGGGGGGGGGTTATTACACCCATGCAAACCTGCGTGCACGGCAGACTTCCCACGGCGCCCGATTCCCTGAGCCACATTTCAAGGAAGCTCAACACGCGTCGGAGGAGAGCCAACTGAACATCGCCCAGGTCCCCTTCACAAACCCTACTCACCTCTGTGAAGAAGTTACTCATGGCTGCACCAACTCCAAAAGAGTCGAGTCAAGGGAAAGGCGGCTTCAAGCATGGGTGGCAAAAGGACGATGCTGGCTTCTGGAGTGGCGAAGGGGGCTGGAGGTCTCACGCCCTTTCTTCTCCTGCTGCCATCCCGCGGTCTCCCCCTTCTCCTTAGCTTTGCCCTCTTCTTCTCTCTCCCTCCGGCCAAGTGGCCCGCAGTATGTTCATTCAGACGCGAACGGAGGCTTTTGTTCCACGCGGTCGTTCGGCTCAACGCCGCAACGAGAAGCGGCCGCCGAAGGAAACCCGGTAGCACATGGCTGCCTTCCACCACCACCACCACCTCCCTCGCCCTTAACGGGTAAAAAGAACAAGCCTGCGCTGGATTTGTTCGAGACGGAGGAAGTGGGGTGGGGGGGAAAGTCCACGGCAGGAGCCGGACCGAGGACGTCCACAGCAGTTTCCTGAGCAAGAAGGCGCCGGCAGCTCGCTAACTCGCTGCGCGCAAAGTGGCTGCGGGGTGGGGGGGGGGGGGGAGATGGAGTTGGGAGGAGGGGAGGGGAACGACGTACACCTTACGGGCAGGACGCCGCTAGGTTTGCGTTATTGCTGGTGCGAAGGCGGGGGCTGTTCAAGGGCCCTCTCGGGTCACGGAGGAGTCTCTGCCGAGATTACGGATTCTCCGCCCCGAAAAGCCAGCCCCTCAGCCAATCCCAGGCGAGCGCCTCTTTGGAATTTTGACCCAGGAGGCGCGCGAGCGACTTTTTTCCTCCTTTGGTTCGTTCGTTCTTGTTTCGCGCTTTTCCCCCACCTTCCTTCCTCACTCCTCGATTGCAGCGCTTCGTGTGTTTCTACCGCTGCTATCTAGGGGTGTCTGTCTGTCTGTGTGTTTCTTTCTCTCTCTCTCTCTCTCTCTCTCTCTGTGTGTGTGTGTGTGTGTGTGAGAGAGAGAGAGAGAGAGAGAGAACCTGCTTGCTGCGACGACTGGGGACGCTCCTTCCCCTCCTAACCCTGTGTCTGGGCTCTATTAAGTTAGTTTCAGACCCAGTCTCTTTCTCATCCTTAAGTAACCAGCTCAATTTGTTAGACTTTATCCCTCCCTCTGCAAATTCCTGGCTGTTCCAGTGTGGCTCCCAGGGTGGGATTTTTTGACATGCCCTTGCTATGCTATTAACAATAGCACTTAGACTTATATACTGCTTAATAGTGCTTTACCGCCTTCTCTAAGCGGTTTACAGAGTCAGCATATTGCCCTCCCAACAATATTGCATGTTATAGAGACTTTCCACACTCACAGTCTTACCATCCCCTGCCTGAGAGCTACAACTGCACCAATCTGCTTGCAGATGAAACAGGTCAAGGGGGACCTTTAGAGGCTCCTCCAACCCCCACATATATGTATCCAATACTTTATGTACATTCTGGTTTGTTGCAGCAACATGGCAGCCCAGCTTTTTCTGATACACGTATATACAGTAAATGTGTGCTTTTGCCTGGCAATAGTCCAAGACTAACCTTTGTGACTGTTAGATTGCCCTGTACAATCATCCAGGCTGCAACTCAACCATGGCATTTATTTCTATTGACCACATGGTCACATTGCAGAAGCACATGGAAAGCAAGATTTCTGATATGTTTGGATAGTAAAGAACTCACAGACACGAATCCATAGGATTGGATGTGGAAAAGTAGAGTTTTTCACCTACTTCAAGTACATTATTATTACTATGCAAAAAAATTGTCCAAGGTATACATATCATAGCATGAGACAGATTGTATGCCTTCTCCTTAAAACAACCTCTTAGGGATCATTCATATTTCCCAACCTGGAATTCTCCACAAACATCACAATTCAACTTCAATAATTCCCCAAGCAGCAAAGTTTTGGTGTTTGGGATTTAAAAGAGTTGAAGTTCACATGTGAGACCATCATGGTTGAAAAGGCTGAGATAACACAGCATGAGGCTCTCCAAGTATTTCACAGGAGTTCCAACACTTATGTCTCCTTCATTCTTGTTCAATATGGCTGGTCAGAATGGAATTCAATAATACAATGCAGATTGCCTAACCTTGGAGTAACAATTAAACATTCTTTTTACTTCTTTAGTATGACCAAGCTGAGCCTGAGGAAAAGGTCAAGCCAAGTGCAACTTCAATCTGGAGTCCCTTCGCATCACAAAGATCTAAATCCAGCCCACTTAAATTTCATTAACCCTCATCTACCGCCAATTTGCCTTGACCATTTATAATTCAGATTCTTGTAGCATGGAATAAACTTGTATTCATTTGAACAGCCTTGGTTCCTGATTTCTTGAGCCTGACAACCTCCCATTTTCATCCATGCTTTCCTGATTCTGTCAGGGTAGAAATGGTTAGCCAGTGTGGGATTGCATCCAACCCAACAGCATCAGGAATAAGAAACAGTGAAGAGCAGTTTTCTTTCCAACTGTTTGGCGCTTGCGAAATGTAGAAACAGAAGTAGTACTGCAAGCATTAGTATATTATTGCTTCAAAAATTTCAAATGCTAAGTAAAATGCTTATTTAGAATGTGTGATTTTAGCATAGGATGGACTGGCATCCCTTGTTCTGGTTCCCAAAAATATCCAGAATGTAAACAGGATTGCTCAGCAAACACTTGATCAAATACCATCCCCTCCTCCAAACTGTGTATTCACAGGAGTATAAACAATGCTGGAATTAATTGAATCAATGGAAATGGCTTCTAATCATATACACTAATTTTAACTGCAAACCAAGAAACCTCCAAGTTGTAATTAAGAGATAGTGATTATGCTGTCTAATGCAAAATGATGGTAAAATTCCAGTAAAGAATACTGATTCATTCTTGTCCCAGGTTTTGCAACTTGTTTAACCACAAAGTTGTCTGGTTTCTTTCCCTACTACTCTGGATTAGTTCATTAAATTAATCTAAATGACTCTAGTTTAATCAACTGGATATGTTATATGAATCCAAATTTTGGCTCTGTGTGTATGTGTGTGTGTGTATTATATAATACACACACACACACACACACAAAATTAGTCAGTGAATGTCATCACTTTGCTTTACGCTGCTAGGTGTGTTGGGGGGAAATGAATGTTCTGAAAAGCTGAATAATATATTAGAGGAAAAGTCTAGTAAGAACTATATGGCTCATTAATGGTGACAACAGAGTGACTTGCCTAAAGGCATCCAGCTGGCTTTCATATTTAAGGAAGTCCTAGAACTCATAGCTTTCTAAGCCAGCACCTTAACCATTGCACCAAACTTACCTCATTATCATTCATTATCTCATTTTCCTAAATATTTTCTGGGGGGGGAAAGCTAAAGAAAATAAAGAATACCAAAAAGGACAGTTCAAGAAGGATCCAGGTCTTATTTTTCAGCTCCAGGATAGCTTGGGCTAATGTATCTTTACCTGCCTACTCTGCTTGGACTCTTTTTTGTGTGTGCCTCCACCAAATGAAACCAGGAGAAGACCTTCTCAACAGTGTGAGCTGACGTTGGGAATGATTTCTGTGGGATACACAGATGCCATCCCCACTGATGACTTTGCATTCTAGATCAAGCGACAGCCGTTCAAGACAGGCAAGGTCAGCACAAAATTAGCTAAAATGTGTCCAAATTTATCCCCTATTTGTTGAAAATGCTCCCAGGAAAACGGATCGTATTATCATATATGGTGGACTTGTAGGAAAGCCCAGGAATTTTGGCATAAAATTCAACGTTAGTTAGAAGAAATTGGTGAGATTAAACTTGAGTATAAACCAGATTTTTTTTTTGCTGAGAATAAATACAGAGAGATACAATAAGGAACTAATATATCTAATAATACACGTGATCATGGCAGCAAGATTAGTTTATGCTCAAAAGTGGGAAGTTAAGGAAATTCCCGATGAAACCGAGATAATTTAAAAGATATGGACATGTGCCATAAATTAATGTTGGAAATAAAAAATAAGGGTGAGACTGAATACTATAAAGTATGGGATAAATTTTACCAATGGTGGGGAAAAAGGAAGGACTTAAAATCAAAATAATGATATTAAGATAGTAGATTAGAAATATGGAAAATTGCTGTAATGTATAAATGTATATATTATGTAAATTTATATTATATGCTATCCACAATAGATATGTATGACAAATATGTCAGGACGATTACATTATGTTCATTGTTTTAATGTTTTTGTTCAATAAAAATTTATAATTTAAAAAAAAAAGACAGGCAAGGTCAGGAAACAGGTTCCACAAATTTGGATAGAACCATATTTTATTGATTTAGTAATAGAAATTTGAAAGCCTCATTTATACCCCCCCTTCCCTCTTTCTTATACCCAAGTGAATTAAAATGGAGACAGACTGAACTTTTTCCCTCATGTTTTCTTGGTTTCCCAGGCTTCAAGCATGTTTTTGCAACCATTGTCTCTGTTTAATTTCTCCAAGGTCATCTCCTTGGCTCTCCACATCAGATTATTTCTTATTTCCTGAGTACTTTTACTCTGCTGTGTTGTCAGTGTTCACACAAGTCTGATCCAGCCACTCACCTGGCATAAACAGATGAATTTAAAGGACACACAAGGAAATTCTATTCAAATTAAATAAAGACCAGCCATTTTAGACTGCCTTAAACTCTCCTACTTCGGAGAGAGATTGAAGACCCAGGTAGTCCTTGATTTATGACCATAATAGGGACCAGAACTTCTATCAAGTGATGCAGTTGTTAAGTGAGTCATATCTGAGTTTATGATTATTATTTTTTGCCACAGTCATTAAGGGAACCCCATAGGTGCTAAGTGAATCCAGTTTCTTCCATTCACTTTCCTTGTTTGAAGCCCCCCCAGAAGATTGCAAATGATGATTAAATAATCCCAGGGTTGCTGCAACCACGCTAAATACATGCCAGTTGCCGAATGCAAGGCTGGTTATAAATCTCTTTTTCCAGCACTGTCATCATTTTGAAAGCTCATTAAACAAGTATGTTAAATCAAGGACTACCTATCCACAAAAAATATATGGTGGCCAAATGAGATCGATACCAGTGCAGATAGTATCAGTACCCATATTCATCCCATGTGTGTGTGTGTGTGTGTGTGTGTGTGTAGTCTGCATACCAACCCATTCTCTAACCTCATTAGCCAAATAGCAAAAACTGAGCCAGTAAGTAGCTTTGTAATCCACCAAATGAACTTCAATTATTAACAGGATTCAAAATGTACTATATAAACAAGTAAGTGCTGATACTTATGCTGGAAGAACAAGGAATGTCTTTCTTATACTGAACACATGGGCCATCTTTTTAAGCTGCTGACAGCTGAAAGGAACATGGCGATGACATGCAGTTTTGCAGTTTCTGCAAAACTGAAATGTCGGGCCCCTTTAAGAGACAGGCTGTTGCCTACTTCTACTGCATTGAATACGAGATAATATTGTGTAAATACTTTTTATGTACCCATTTGGCTTGATTACATAGCCCAATGAATTGTGAAAGCTATTGTTCTAATGATTATTGGAGAGTTAATATTAAATAACCCATATGTATTTACACAGTACACCAGCAGTACAGT